AGGGAAAGAAAAAAAAGCAGTTAAGAAACATCACATGCAACTACAGAGGGAAAAAGCAGAGAAACTCAGTGAAGTTTTACATACCTGAAAAAGAAACGGTAGCCAAGAAAAAAAAAAAAAGAATCATTATTGTAAGTTTCTAAAACCTACCAGCAGTACATGCCCATCATGATGTATGCTAACATACTACTCTAATACCAAACTCCCACATTCACTAATTTCCCCAGAAAAAAAACTCAATTTTATTACCATGTCACTTCTAGAATACTCCAAGAGGAATTTATAATTCAAATAAATTGAGCAACATCCATATTACCAATTAGATATTAAATAGTTGCTTCAACATTCTTACCACAGCAAACAACCCATGCCACAGAAGATCTATTCCGTACACACTCTCAAGTCTTGACACAATTTCAGAAATACAAATTAAACTGTAAATAGGCATCAACAAAATAAACAAGGCACATGTCAAAGTTACAAAGTCTTAATTAACGAGATGCCACCTCTTTGCCAGAAGCTGTGTCAGATTATTTCCATTTTCTGTCCTCGCCACACATGATATAACTTGGTCTACTAAAGGAAGCATCACAAATTAAGGAAACTGCTCAACGGACAACACGTATTTGAGGCCTGTTAAAACCCAACATGGTTGTCCTTACACAAGAAATGAGAGATCTGCCATTGTGGACTTTGTAATGTTATCAGCCTGAATTGAAACTCCACTTCTACAAACACTCATTTTTCCTAGCAACAGAGGTTCTTCTTCATCTAAATCACCTCTGCCACATATTTACAAAAACTGATCTTCTGTCCAGGCCCTTACACACAGGTCACTCACATGGAAAAAATGTCTGAAAAAAAATCATGTGCACATCCATTCTTGTGTGCTTTCAGGAACTCAGTTGCCAGAGATGATAAACATAATGCTAAGTCTAACTACCCATCCCTTGGATATTTCTGGATACACAAGAGAGCTTTCCTCCTTTCCACTGATTGTCTGCTGAAATCCAACCTAAAGCAACTCTAATTCTATCCCCCTCATAACTTACACAAGATTGATCCATAGATAGCAAAGAAAACTGCTGCAAGGTATAAATGGTTAAAGTTACCTGTCATATGCTTCAAAATTTCAGCTACCTACATGGACTGAATAGAGAGAAGACAACAAACACCACTGAACAAGTGAGTTGATAACCTCTTCCTTTCCTCTCCCACACCTCACAACAGCACAGCTCCTTTCTAAGTGCAGGTATTATTTCATTACTAGCTCTTGTTGCATCAACAATTTTCATCCATATTGTTACCTGCATTCAGCATCACAAGTGAACCAGTCTACATAAGCTAATCCCCTCCTAAGACAGCAAACACAGCTACAATGCTCAAGCTCTCTCTACTTTATTCTAGAAAGCATAAAATCATGAAAATACTAACCCCAGTCCCAACACTTTGGCACAAGTGTCACAGTGTGATAAGGCACATAATCACAATTATGCACTGCAGAAAGAAAAGACATTGAGGGCAATGGTCTTATAACATAGAGAAGAAAGGTAGTTTTTGCTGTTAATCACTGTATTAGTCAACACAAAATCCCTTGTCACAAATGTAGTAGGCAGAAACATGATACTACAACATTATACAACTCTCCTGCATTCAAAGAGAACTTTCAACATTAGACAAATACAGCAGACCTTTCTCAGCCTGAAATACAACTTATTCCCCCTACTTAGACCACAACAACCTCTTTTTAATTTCTTACCTTTAAAAATAAAATAGAAAGGCTACATTTTTCACCCATGAAAAAAGAACATCAAGGATTAAAAATGTTCTTAGTAGTGCAGCATTAATGGCATACAGCTCTGAAGCTATGGGATTCCAGCTGCTTCAGCCCCACAGTATTATGCTGAAACAATCTCCCAGCAGTCATCTCTAAATTCCTTTGTACATTCCTAAACAGCTGTCAAGCAGTTACCCTGAAAAAGATGATGCAAAGCTACCATCAGAGACTAATGTAAGTAATTAAAATAATAAAACGGATTCTGACACCGGATTTCTGTCAAGTGACCCAGCATTTCCTTTCACAACACTTCAGAATGGTACCCTGCTATGGTAAGCTCTGAACTAAGAGAACATGTTTTGCAGATCTGATTGTATGCACCCAACTCTAACAAGAACAAAAGGATTTGTTATTCCAAATACATCTTTGCTATTGTACACATGCTTGTGTGTACACCACACTTGGGTTCAGACAGATCAGACCACTATGTAGAGATCCTTCACTATGCTGTACATTTGGAAAGTAATTAAATTGTTTCCTACTCACCCTAATATCCTAGTTAACTACATTATTACTAAACAAAATTCAGACTCAGTTCTTCACTTCATGCCAATAGGTTCCTCCATATTATTTCCACTTGGAAAATGAAGAATACTACAGGGGTTCACTTTCTAGGCTGTACTTATTCAGAGGCAGTCAGGAAGAAAATATGCAACAACAAAAACCCGAAGGTCTTCATTTCAGATAAGCAGCCTCTAAAGAAGAGCACAGAACCCAACCTGCCTTTGGCCCAGAGTACACCAACATGAAGAGATCCAACAGAGACCTTTTATTCCAGTACTGCAAAAATCAAAGCCTAACATTTTACTTCCTACTTGAGGACAGAGGATGGTGGGTGAGAACAAAAAAACATCCACCAACAAAATTACTACATTTATCCAGCTGATGTGACATGAATAAACAAAGTCTGTGTTCAGACACAACTGTTACCAAAAACCAGAGCATGACACAGTTTACAGGGTGCAAACTCTCATTTGGAACACCTCAAATTCACTCCTTTTGCATAAACCTGCCACGTGTACTTAACTAAGAACCCTGGGAAGTTACATTGTGTAGGATGATTAAAAAAGCCTAAATATGTTACTGTACTATGAAAACACCTTTTATAATATTTTTTGCTGCTAAACACAACCTATTGCAAATTATTAGCAGGGTTGATTCCCAAGAAAGGATGAACAGTGATTTCAATCAGTCATTTCCTATTTTCATGACCAAACCTCCTACATCAAGAGATGATCATAAAACAAGTCACATTTTGCAGCAATTTCACAAGTTTTTATTACTTACAGTTACTGCAGACTTGAGATAAAACACTGCTGAGCACATTTCCACTAAACTATGGCAATCTACACTGAAAGAATCTTGGTCAACAAACCACCTCACCTTCAAGTTTCATTGACTATATCTGCACTAAAAGGACTCTGAATTTAAAAAGCAAATTGATGAAATACCAACATAAGCACAAAATATACTGTCCCCTCAGTTAGTAACTTTCATTTGTAAATTCAAATACACTAAGATTTTAAAAAAAGGGACAGGTACAGTTTACTACAGAACATAACCTAGACACAGAGGAAACGCATGCACAATACACTGCTCTTCTTCCCTTGCAACAGCTGCTGGCTTTAAAGATTTCACCCTAAAATCTATCCTTAACTTTCAATGCCTGCTTTGTCGCTATGTGTCCTATAAACTATAGTTAATAATACAAGGCAAAGAAACATTCAGAGACCAATTCATCACTAGCTCCCCATTTCTGCAGGATCAAATGCATTAGTTATTTTTCCTTTCTGTCACCTATTTAAAATAATTAGATGACCAACTGACAACCTCTTATTTTGAGAAAGCAAAACTCCTGACAAGAGTGGTGAATCATCAATGAAGAGCTGCTTTGAATGGTGAATACACAAGGAAACAGTTCACACTGTACTTGCCTTAACATCTCTGATGAAGCATACCACAACTGCTTTGCTGCATTTTAGGTTCTGTGGATGCTTAAGTTTATGATTAACCAGGCTGGTACCAGATAACTATCGTACATGAAGCCTTGTCCCTCTTCACAGTAATGCAAGCAAATGCAAGAATTGCTCACACATGGACTAATTTTAGTACAGTTTAATGCTTCTGACAGCTAAAATTTAACTGTTCTACACCAGTATCTCTCAGGTGATCTTACACCAAGTAAATTACATCACTGATGTTTGCAGTTACATGCATTATACTCATAAAAAAGGTAAACTTATATTTTCATATATAAGCAGTGTCAGCAGGTTCAACCAGAACTGTAGTGATTCTATGATCCAGCCAGAATGGTGAATCAGAGGAAAGTGTTAATTAATTTTGGACAGTCTCCACAGGCATTGGACATATAAAAAATATGGCACAAAATTACTATACATGTAACAACTATTTCACTTTTCATACCCAAAGGTATGGCAGATAAGTCGCTTTCGTATCAATTCAAAATTAAAGGTGACAAGTCAGCCCCAAGTTTCCTAGAGCCAAGCAAGACATCTTCCTTCTGCATTATTCATTATTCTCTATGTCTTGAATCCCAAAACACATATTTTACTTTAAATGTTTGTGTACCTCTACTCAGAGATCCAGCCTATTGAAATGCAAATTCTTGTGAAAACTGAAGAAGGGACCTCAAGAAATTACTTACCCTGCCTTGCTGTTCCAAAGCAGGACCAACTGTATCTATGCTACTCCTAGGAGATGTCAGCCAATTCTTGACTTACAGGTCTCTAATGAGCTACCTTCAAAAACACTCTCATAGCCATTTGCAGTACTTCATCTTTTTCGCTAGAAAGTTCCAGGATCTGAACTGAACTTCTGTTGCTACAGTGTAGTACATCACATCTTGTTCTCTGTGGCAAGAATGATTTGCATAAACTATTCCCCTTCTCTCTACAACACTTCTGAACACTTAAAAAATTGAATCACTTATTACTTGACAATTTTTTTTTCCTGCTTTCTTAATGGTTCACATTTGTGGCACCATTGGTTGGTCTAATTATTCTGCTCTGGGCTTT